ACAAGAAAGGAGGCAAACCAATATCACAGATATGGTAAAATCTTTCGAGGGTAAGACACTTCGGTAATATCGTGTTGTAACTATAAGCTCGCCCCCGGAAGAGGGCGCTCCAGTCTATGCAACCCACCTGGTCCCTTAGATGCCAAAGACACCAAGTAGTCCGCCACAAAGTTGGTTTCACGATAGTCATGATTAATCGTCACAACCCATAGGCGGCTCAAGAGATCCTTAATATCTTTCAAAATGCTCCCAGGCAGCCCGTTAGTGTCATCATTATGTACCATCGCAATAACGCTCTGGTTATCAACCTCCACCATGATTTTGCAGGCTCCGATATCCCAAGCCATCTGCAAACTCTGAAATAAGCCCCATAATTCTGCTCCAATGATTGAACAAAACCCAATATTCATCACGAATCCACTAACCCAATTCCCATGGTGATCGCGAATGACTCCACCAGCACTAACCATCCCCGTCGACGGTGCAAAGCTGCCATCTGTATTTGCCTTGAGCTCATCCGCCGTCGGAAAAGACCAAGAGATCCAACGTTTTTCACATATACCACAGGCTCCTAATTTGTCGCTACCAGCCAAAGATTATTGAACCTTACCCGCATAGGAGAAAACCTCGTCAATCCGTTGAGCAGGGTAGTGTCGGATCCCTCAAAGACCTTGAGATTCCGCCATCTCCACAAACGCCACACCGTAAGACAGAACAATGCCTCCCAATCGTCCACGTCTAGAATCAAGCGGCCAGTTAAATTATTTGCAATCCAACTCCTAAGGTTCAAGGAGAAGACAACTCTCAACTGGCTGCGCAAGACCAATTTTTTCCAAGTTTCGTCCGCCACCACAGTCCACACAGTCCCCGCGTGTGGAGCAAGATGTCGCTGGTGTCGTACTTCGTTCGTCAACAGGCTATCGCGGGCGGCTAGCCAAAGGAAGTGACGAACCCGCTTGAGGACCAACCTATTGCCAAATTACTTTCCACACGCCCTCGGCACTCCGACCACCACGTTGAACCATTAATGCCAAATAGGCCGACCTAGTCGAATTTCCCGTCCGCCAACCACCCCCAGTACAGCCCATCTTCTCTGCCATTCTCCTGCGGCGGTGGTAAAGCTAAGATCCGAAGGAGACATGTCACCGAGATCCGAAAGAGACATGTCACCGGCAGCAGCCCTTGAAATACGGACCAATTCCAACCACCATCCGGCTTGACATGTCACCAGCCCTTGTAATAGCGGTTAATGATCTTTAATTAACATTTAAAATCGGACAAACAAAGCAACCCTTGTAATTATAAGTTACTGCCACAAGACAAACAGTAAGGTAAAAGTGAAGCCATGCCATCTTTCGCCCGCACTTGAAAAATAAAATAAAATAAATCATAGTCAATTACAAAGTGCTTTTTGTACGGTTTTCTATACTTTCTAGTTTCTATATATAAGCTCCATCCAAACTCTTCTAATCCACCACCAATCACATTACTAGAGAAAGAAAAGGATAATAATCAATCAATCAATCAATCCAACAAAAAATTCATAAGATTAATCGATTGATTGATTAGAAATCATGGGCAACAGCCTAAGGTGTTGTTTGGCATGCATCCTTCCATTCGGGGCCTTGGACTTGATTCGGATAGTGCATCTAAACGGCTACGTGGAGGAGCTAACGGGTCGGGTCACAGCAGGTGATGTCCTGAAGAACAACCCGAACCATGTCCTGACAAAGCCGTGCTCCCAAGGCGGCGTGACCCGGCGGATCCTGATCCTGTCCGCCGGATCCGAGCTCAAACGGGGCTCCATTTATTTCTTGATACCCGATTCTTCAGTGCCCAGTCGGGTGAAAAGGAAGGGTGCTTCAAAGCCGGAGATTGTTGCCGGATCAGAGAAAAAGCAGACGTCTTCACGGCGGCGGAGAGTGGCGGTCGAAGAATGGCGGCCGCGTTTGGAGAGCATTTTGGAAGACCCGGCATGACAATCATTTTTTTATTTTATTTTTCTTTTCAATTTTCTCTCTTTTTTTTTTCTATTTATTTTTTTTTTCTTTTTTGATTTTTTTATTGGGCAATCGCTATTTTTTCACTAGCCTGTTGAATTGTGAATAGTTATTTATATTTTATTTCAATTTTATTTATTTTTACATCGGTTGATGGTTTTTCAATTCCACCTACAAAGTTGACAAGGCCGGTGATGAATTGGGGAGATTCGATTCTATCATAAGTTTTAACCGTTAGATCAAATTGAATGTTCGACATCCAATGGCTTAAACTTGAATGATTAAGTGTGTGTTTATTTATAAATTTTCTCATTCAATACTTAAACTTTTAACTAAATTTTAATTTAACTCTATTATCCTAAATATTTTAAATATGATTAAATAATATTTATCAATCATCTTTACACATTACCAGGGACGGATGTACACTAGGCCTGGGCTGGGCTGAAGCCCAGGCCTTTTATTTATTTTTTACTACTACTAACTGTTTTTTTTTAATCCTAGCCCAGCCCAACAAAAAAATAAATAAATAAACATCTAAGGCCCAAATATACTAACTTCCTAAATCCTCATATGTCCTAAGGCCCTGCTCGTTTATCAATTATCTTATTATCACCTCATCCTCATACTTCAAAAAAATTGTTCTCTTTTTCGTTCTTCCCTCCTGTCCCGGCTGGCCGCTCTCTCTCAAGTCTCCATTGTTGGACTTGCAATTTCTACAGCGGACTGTGTTCACCTTCACTCACTACCAAAAAAAAAAAAGTTTTTACTTTACAAACCCTAGATGACTAGATTGTATATTGTAAAGAGAGCAATTTAACTATTGTGTGATACATCGATTGTTGAGTTCTTGTTCTAGAAAGGAAAAGAGAAATTTGAAGCCTGATTGCTTGAGCCCTGAAACATTCATAATATTAGTATGCGATTTTTTTTTTTTATTTTTTTTTTCTGGATTTTGTGTAATTGAGAAGTGTTGAGATTTGGTATTTGCTTCAAATTTTGAGTACAAAGTGTACAAGTCAAATTAATTTACACTTGTGTGATTGTATAATACACCTGAACTGATTTAGTCAATAATTTACACTTGTGTGATTGTATAATACACTTGAACTAATTTAGTCAATTAATTCATTAAATGTTTACATAAGAAACCCAAGAAAAATAGTTTCGAATTCGTATTTCGCATGTTGAGAATCAGTGCCAACTTTTATAATAATGTATGATAAATGGATATAAAATTGTAAATCACTTGCTATTTTAAATTATGTATGGCTGAGTCTGTTATTATTTTGTAAAACTATTTTTGTTTTGGCGTTACCGGTTTCTACTGCTACAACCATACGAACTTTTTTCATCCATGAAGCATGTGAAGACAGTACTTCGTAACAAGATTGGGGATGGTTTTTCAAAAATTGTTTGATTCTCTTCATCGAACTGAAGTTTACTAATAGTATAAGTATATATTCTATTATTGATGTATTTTATTATGTAAATGCTCATTTGAGCAGAACTTCAGTAAATATTTGAAGAAAAAATATTATGTGATTTTATCAAAATAAGTGTTTAAAATTCTAGCCCAGTCTATTCTTAATTTCTGGATCCGTCCCTGCACATTACATAAATTTAAATTCAATATATTAATCTACTCACATAATGTTAGTCATACTTATCATCATTTCTCTTATACTTTTATATTAAATAATTTTAATTATTTTATTTTAAATATTATTTAATATAAATTTAAAATCTCAATCAAAACGTCTGAAAATATGTTTTTTGTTCCCTAACGTATCCCGTTTTGCTTTCGGTTCCGAAAAAAAGGTTTACTATTGGAACCAATAAGGGTCCACTAGGTGTTGTTTGGGGAAAACAAACAAAGAGTAATAAAAAATCATCGGATCGATCTGAACTGCTGATACTATATATCGAATTCCAAACCGAACTGATAAAAGTCATGGGCTCATGTAAATTTTCACGTGCTCTACAAAATCTTCTCCTCGTCCATTACATGTTTGATGAATTGACTCAACCGTAATTTTTTTTTTATTATTATTATTCTGCCAACCCATTTCTCGTCAATTCTGTCAAGTGATGTTGAGAAGGATTTTTAGTTTCACGCATACTAAATTCAACCGAACTGCAAAATCTCATTATTGTCCACTACCTGTTCGATGAATTGCCTCAACTGTAGGTTTGAGCTTCTGGTCCTTTAAACCCATTTCTCTTCAACTCTATGTTCAACATTCTAAAACGTCTACCAAGTGATGTTGAGGGGATTTTCAGTTTCACGCGTTTTGAATAAAACCGAGACATTCCTGAGGACCGTCTCCTGCTCGCCAATCACAGATAAACTAGCACCTCATGCAGTTCCCCTCCGTTGGCATGTCAAAATGTACGCGTTTTGGTCTTTTATTCCGAACGCGAACTTCCTCGTCTGCCCGTATTTCCAAAGTGGCGGAATGTTGAGTTTATCTCACTTCAACCTGGTCCTGAGGAAAAAGTTTTGCACTTTGGACAATCCTGAGTTAGAAAGATCACCGGATACCGACGAGATTGATGATGTCGGAAAGGTCCATAAAACGGTTTTGGATTACTCGAAACCCGAGTACAAAATGGAGTGGGCCCTCGATAAACTAGGAGTCGGGCTAACGACGCCTCTAGTGGTGGAGGTCCTGAACAGGCTCCGTTTTGAGGAGAAACTAGCTTTCAGGTTCTTCACTTGGGCGGGCAACCACGGAAGCTACACCCATGAACCCGAATCGTACAACAAGATGATCGACATCCTGTCCAGCACCAAGAACAAGGTGAGACAGTTCCGGATAGTTTGCGACCTTTTGGACCACATGAAACGGGCTCGGAAAAACTCGGTCCCGATCGATGTCCTCTTGAACATATTGCGAAAGTACACAGAAAAGCACCTGACCCACCTCCACAAATTCGCGAAAAAGAAGAAGATCCGAGTGAAAACTCAGCCCGAGATTAACGCGTTCAACCTGCTGCTCGATTCCCTCTGCAAGTGTGGCCTCATGGGCGAGGCTGAAGCCATGCTGGGCCGGGTCCGGGCCCGGGTAAGCCCGAATGCTGACACGTACAATGTCATGTTCTTCGGGTGGTGTCGAGCGCGGGACCCGGTGCGAGGCATGGCTGTGCTGGAGGAGATGGTCGAAGCAGGCCACGGGCCCGATTGCTTCACATACAATGTGGCTGTAGACACCTTCTGCCGGGCTGGAATGTTATTGGAGGCCCGCAGGCTGTTGGAGTTCATGCAGGCCCACGGGTCGGCCCAGTCATCCCCGACTGCCAAGACGTATGCCATCCTGATGGCGGCTCTCGTCCAGAATGACAGGCTGGACGAGTGCTTCGAGATCCTGGCCGAGATGATCGGGAGTGGGTGCCTTCCGGACATGGCTACGTACAGAGAGATAATGGATGCCATGTGTCTTGGCGGGAAAATCGAGGCGGCGTACAGGTTCTTGGAGGAAATGGGTCGTGCGGGATATCCGCCCGATATAGTCACCTACAACTGTTTTCTCAAAGTTTTGTGTGATAACAAGAATAAAGATGAGGCCTTTAAGCTTTACGGTAAAATGAGTGAGTTGGGTTGCGTGCCGAGCGTGCAGACATACAATATTCTGATCGAGGTGTTTTTCGGGTGTGGTGATGTGGATGGGGCGTTTGGGATTTGGGACGAGATGGAGAAGAGGGGGTGTATGCGGGATATGGATACGTATTGCGTGATGGTTGAGGGGCTGTTTGGGTGTGGGGAAAACCGGGACGCGGTTTTTCTGTTGGGTCGGGTGGTGGATATGGAAATGAAATTGCCTTACAAGAAATTCGATTTGTTTCTGTCGAGGCTGTCTGAGATCGGGGATCTGAGGGCGATCCAGAGGCTGTCTGAGCACATGAGGAAGTTTTACAATCCCGCCATGGCAAGGCGTTTTGCTTTGAACCAGAGACGTAAGAGCATGAGCATAAGAGGGAGGTGAGTTTTGGAATATGGGTTTGTTCTTTTTTTTTTTTTTTTGTTTTTTTTCCAATATAGTTCAGATGGTTTTTAACAAAACAGTCCTGTCTTGTTTGTTATTACTAAACAACACACTTTCAGCTTCCATTTTATTTTATTACTCTGTTATTCATTATGATTTGTACGGTTTTTGCTATGAAGTCATCGGATGACTCGAATTATGGAGTCATCCACAATTATCCACAAATAGTGTATTGACACGTGTCCTGCAATAAATACATATTTGAGGGTTGTCAAATGCAATAAGTCCCAACTCCCAATTGTTCCTCATCACAACACAAAACAAGCACATATATGATATATCAAATTCAAAATGGCTATTATACAAACAGTAGCAACAACAAAATTTGTCCAAAAGAATTATGGTTCTTACCAGAATATGAGCCACAATCGAGGGTTGTCCGACCGGCTTGAGAAGAACGTGAGGTAAGCGAGAGGCCAAAGACGTGGGAAAATTGAAGCAAAAAGGAAGGAACAGAAAAATGCAGAGGATTTTCTCCGAAGAGTAAACCTCTAGAGTTGATCCGGTTAAAGTAATAGCAATTGATGGAGGGGTTTTGGCCTGCATAATTGCTCTCGTTTATCATCCAAATTGAGGAGATGTTTGCAAAGCCTATCGTTGTACAATCATTGGAAGTGTAAGTTCGAATTATTGTACGGATTTCAGTCAAAAAAGGAAGGGTTCATTGTCGGAGAGATTGGTAATGGGGAGAGAGAAGATCATGCTGCATGTTGTTCAAGGCTGGGGTGATGATTCTGATGAAATTTGATTTTCCTGATATTTGTTATTTGTAATTTTAAAATTATAAAATAATTGATTGATATAAAAGTATAAATCTATTTATTTATTTTATAAATTGTTATCATGTTTCCATGATATGTCCATGTAGTTATCTTTAGATAATTTCCAGTTTGATATTAAACAATTTCATTTTCAAATTAGTACTGATATGGGATACCCTACTGGGTTAACCGAACCAATGAAACCCAACAACTAGGCCGGATTAACGAAGTAGAGCGAGCCGGGACCAAAGATCGACCTGAGGGCAATAATCAAGACGACGAGGACCTTCCGAAAGGAGGAGCCAACCACGTGATGAGCTCACATCGAGCTCGAACACTTGATGGACCAAGAGATCGAGTTGACCTCATGAGCAATAGAGGAGTTGAAGAAGAAGATGTTCTATCTAATGAATGTTCTACTTGATGACGTGAACCTAGTCGCACGACAAGACAAAAAGGCATCTAACTCAAGGATAACGTCACACGAGGATTGGACCACGTGTAGCAATGAGATCGGGTCGTCTTCACACCTGACAAAGCTTGACAGTCTGAAACAATGTAGGTCATACGGACAACTCTTTGGGCAGACTTGGAGAGCAAGACACACACCCCTATACAAAGGGGTGTGGTAGATTAGCTTTCAGTTTACATTCTCTACACACTTTACATACGAAATTATTGTTCATCATTTTCATCCTTACAGTGACTTAGGCATCGAAGATTTTTTGACAGAAAACTCCCATTGCCTATATTGAGTTCTTGTAGGCTTAAAGGCCGTTCAAAGTAGAAGAGAGCAAATCTAGTCATATAAGTTCGAGTGAAGAACAAGCGAAGTCCACTATTAAGTATATATATAAAACAAAATTCCTTCATGAATAAAAAAATTATATAATTAAGCCTTGATTTACTATTTCATGTAAAATTCATTTCAGAATTTAAGAAACTATACGAAAACACAAAGAGCATAGGAAGCAATTAATGTATAACGAAAAAATCAGCATAGAAACGAGTCGGCAAACACGTCATCAACAGGCTCATCCTTTGCCCTTGGCAACCGTGCTTCACCATACTCCAGCAGAGGAATAGCCAATGAGCTTGTGAAATTTTCGGATCTCGAATTCTCATAACCCGTTGTTGGAATATCCGAGTCGAGCAGTCGAGGCATAGGCCTAACCACTACTGCATTGCTGCTGTTTCTGCTTCGGCCAGGCGGGACATCGTGGTTGTGCTTCCCTTCGTATGTCGTTATCACCGCCCGAGAATCTTGGGCTGCCCGTTCCACATGCTTCCTCACTTGGCATCCATGATTAGTGCACTTGTAATAGCTCCTAAATTCCAAAAAAAAAATAAAAAAAATGCACCCAAAATCAAACTACTTTTCAAGTCTCATATGGAAATAGTGTATAGAGTAGAGTTCTTAAAATGGAAAAAACTTTGAACACTATTTTATGCTCCATGTTATATTTCTTCATATATAACACTAATAAGCTGTAGAAAATGACAATGCTGTACATGTGCGTCGTTTGTTCAACTATCGAAATGCCAAATGGAATGAAATGTATCTTCTGTGAATGATTTTTTGTCGATGAACGCAATGTAACACGAAATTTCGGCGAAAAAGATGAGTTCCTGTTACCTGGGATTTGGATTTCCCTTCACCACTTTCTGACCATATTTTCTCCACCTGTAACCATCATCGAGTATATCCACGTCGCTCATAGTTTGAACGACAACTCTTGGTTCTCTCACTGTCCTACTCTCCATTCCTGATATACCTTCACTTCCATTCTCCCCTTTCCTGACAAAAAACAAACACATAGAATTAGACCATACATCTCAATTTTTTTCATATCGCAATACTGTCCTAAAAAAATTTCTCATCACAACAACAAAATTAAGAAACTCACCATCTCTTGAAATTCGGCCCATCTTCATCCACTTCATCACAGCCCGACAAGCTCCTCTGAATGCTCTGCTCTAAATCATCATTAGATAACGATGAGTTCTCAGGAGTCCCAAGAAAATGATCAGTTCTCCCCACGACATTCGACCCTTGAGACATCTCGTTCGACTGTGCACTGCAAGACAGGAACACCACAGAAGAAGCCGACGGGGAGGATGAGGATGATCTCCTAGTCGACTGAGGCTTTGGGTGGTTATGAGTACCTCTGATCACAATTTCAGTTATTTTCCCATCTAAGGACCTCTCGAGCTTTTTCTTGGTGGGGCAGTTCGGGTAAGTGCATTTGTAGTAGCTTCTCGGGTTCTCGCTCCCTTTCACCTGTTTCTGCCCATATTTCCTCCAGTTATACCCGTCTTCTGATTTTCGGTTATCCTGTGACGACTGATTGTGCTCGATTATTTTCGGGTCGATAGTTTGGATTGTGGAGATCTCGGGGGAGAAGCTCTGGACCGAGCTGAGCTCGGGCTCAAAGTTTGGTTTGTCAGATGAGGCTAATTCTGGATCGAGAGACTCGAGATAGCCCCACGGCTGCAAAAATTGAATTGTGAGCATAAAAACAAGAGAAAAATATTGAGTCTTGTTGTAAGTCAGGCTGAAACATTAAACATACATATGATGTTAGAGGGTTTGTTTGAGTTTGGAAAGAGAACTCGGGAAAGTTGTTTTGCTCATCCTTTATATCCTTTTGCTGTGACCTGCCAGAACTCATGTTATTGTTCCAGCTCGAACTCTCGATTGGAAATGTACCGGTAGTTGGTGAAGGCAGAAGCTGCAATCACAAAAGGCCAAAAATTAATTCAAATAATCCCTTTTGGAACTGAGCGCTTGGAATATCAGGTTTTGAGAAACTAGCGAGCGATCACCTTCCAGCCCAGTGTGGTATACAACTTCAAAAAAATCAATATTAGACATATAAACAAACACGTAGTCTGCAATAAAAATTTACCTTTGCCCGGAAAAGAACAACAAAGAAGCACCTTAATTTAAGGTTCTCAGAAAATTGAACCATATGATTCTGATTTTTTTATTTTTTATTTAATTTTTTTCAGTCATTAGAGCCCATATGAAAATCACGCTTTGGAAAATCTTTGAAAAAGATTGATACTTTCGAGAAAATGTATAAATTAACCTGAGGAATGTATGGTCCTTTTGCTATTTGAACAATAATATTGAAAAATTTAAAAAACAAACGAGGCTCACATTAGAACCAGAAAGAAGAACAGGGGAATCCAAGAGCTCGGAAGGGCTAAGGCCAGGAGGCAGGGCAAAAAAAGAAGAAGGAGAGAAGGCCGTGGCGGCGGCAGCGGCCGGTGGAGATATTGGAAGAGAAGGTGGCGGGAGGGACTTGAACTTGGGGACGCCGTGGCCCGTCCTCGCCGACACCCGATCGCCGAGGCCGTTTCTCACGGTGGCGGCGGGTCGGCCGTCTTCGGAGGCGAGAAGGCCGGTGAAAGACATGAACTTGTTGTTAGAATTGAGTGTGGACGGAGATTCCGGTGTAAACGCTGCCGAGGTCTCTAAGGTTTATGAAGAAATGGCGGCGGACATTGTGTGTGTGTGTGTGTGTGTGAAGCAATGGTTAGTTTGTGAAAAGAGGAGAAAAAGAGGACGACAAAGAAAGTGAAAATGTTCACGTAATTCCAAATTTATCTTCTTTCTTTTTTTGTATATATTTTATCAAAATCTCAGTGTGGGCCAGGGTTAGGTTTGGAATTTGGCATCAATTTTCTAGAAGATTGAGATAATAAAGTTGACAATAAATTTATCTAATTCTTGTAAATCATGGCAATTAATTCACCACGTTACATAATTACATGATAAAGTATTTTTAAATACAATTTTTTTTTTTTTATTAATTTACCTATCCTTTTAAATCTTGAGAATAAGTTTAGCATATTATAGAAAGATGCTACGATTTTTTTACGGAATCATCTTATTTTCAGATCAATTATCTCTGACGATTATATGATGATATAGCGATTACAAACACCGACAAAATGGTTCAATAACAAAACTGTAGCATTTTCTCATATTATATACTAGTATATTATGATTATGATTATGGAGATGACATTAAATTATATGTGAATGCGCATGCAACTATTCAATTCATGAACACGAAAATAAAGATTTTAACAATAATTAGAAGGGATGGTCAAAGTCGCAACTTTGACCGATATTTTTCAAATAAAGAGAGGCGGCTAAAAAGACATTGGTCCCCATCCCAATTTTCACCCAATATAACTGTGTATATAAACTTTTTGAAGAATTTTTGTTTGATGGAACACAAAAAAAAAATAAAAATAAAAATAAAAATAAAGAAGAGGAGGTATAATATAATTTTTTGGATCAGAAATGAAAATTTTTACATATGGAATAATATAGAAAAAAATATAATAATCAAAATTGATGTAATAAACAATGATATAATTTAAAACTTGTTATGATTTGCTTATTTAATATGAGTAATTATTTTTTTTTTTTATTTGTGATGTGTATTTTTTCCTTTTAATTTGTACAGATGTAATTAAGGAGAATGAAGTAAAAAGTATGAACAGCATTTTTTTAAAAAAAATATTTTTATTCTTATTTTCAAGTTTAATGAAGATGACACCCCAACTTTTATTTTATTTTATTATTATTATTTTTTTTTTTTTGTGTGTTTGGATTTATCCTCACATCCAAATTTGAAAAAGATAAAAAAAAAAATCCAATTTAATAACTTTTTATTAGGACAAAACTGTTATATACACGCCTTTTTATTGTGGAGTTAATATTCATTGTCAACATATATGTAATATAGACATATCTAAATATCTATAAAGAATTCTAAATGTGTAATTTCTGAAATAAAAATACAAAGAATAATTCATTGAATCTCTCAAAATTACATGCATTTCTGAAATTTACCTATAGAATTTACTTATAATATTTCCTTTCTCCAAAAAAATAAATGTTAGGAATTATGTAGTTTATAAAGTAAAAACTATAAAATACAAAATAATTCACCAAATCTCTTCAAATTCATTGTATTCCACAATTTATATGTAAGAATTTACATAACATAAACATACATTTTAGAATTTTTTATTCAGAATTAAGGAATTTACATATCAAATTCCTCTATACAAATTAGGTAAATAGTAAGAAAATTACAAACAATTCCACGTAATTCTTAAGTACATATAATTTACTTATCGAAATTTAATTACCATTTTTTTAATTACCAATCTTGGGTTCTTTATTGATAATTCAATGATTTGATTTAATTAACTTTGCAATGAAATATATTTGATTAGAAGACTACAAAGACGGGATCATATGCTCAAATTATATTAAATTATTTTTATGATAAAATATTTATTTAAATGTAATGTTAAAAATAAGTTTCACTAATTGTAATACACATTATGGCAGGCTTTGATGCGAGATTGAAGGAGGAAAAAACAGCCTTTAAATTAAGGTTGAAATGATTAATGAAGGGAAATAAATTAATGTCAAAAAAGAGTATCAAGGTGGTGTCTAATTATTAACCGCAATTATTAATCTCTTTTCCTTTCATAAAAATTTACAGTTTTGCTGTGAAGCATCGGATAACACTGAGTCGTCACATGAGTTATTCACAAATAATGTATTATCATATGCCTACGAGGCTACGATAAATCTACTTAAGACATGTGCCAAATACATTAAATATAAGAAAATCATCCGATGACATTTTATATATCTTCTGAGTAAATTAATCTCGTGGCATTATAAAATTGAGGGAAGTGGTGTCCCACGAAACCCAAAAAGTTGAGGCAAATGAAACAAGGTTTTGATCCTTAACTAAGTGATGGCCACGAATAAAATATCCAAAATGTGAACATATGTGTACACAAAATGATAATATTTGTTTAGCTATCAATGAACCTTCCATCTTCTTGCTTATATCCAACATGCCTTCCTCACCAAGCAATTTTTTATTTTTTTTTTTTAAAAAAAAATTAAATGAAAAAAAAAAATCAACACAGAAGGGTCGGGTAAAGATATTCTATTCTACCAAGTCAAAATCATCTAACAATGTCAAAGCAAACCTTTTCTTTTTAATAAAAAAAAATGTGGATTTGGAATCCAAAGCAACTTTTGAGCGACACTTGAGCATATGAAAACAAGTACTAAACACATAATCAAACCTATAATTTAGTTTAATTATTTCAATGATTTTTCCCGGTTGTGTCGTAACTTGCGTATTCACGTCGATTGAATATGGTACAATTAGAAAAGATAGAGATTGTAATATAAAAGAGATTGAAATATAATGAGCTGACACTATATTAATCTAATGAAAGCATTCAGACTTGATGCATTCATTCAGAAGTCTTGTAAGTTTCACGATATTGAAAAAACGAACACTTTCACGATAGCACGATTTACCACCCCTAATAGCAAATTGGTGAGATTTTTTCTCTCTATGAAATTTAGCTCCATTGTTCTCAGCAACTCAGAACAGATTCTTGTAAGAACAGATATTTGCTTCTTTGTTTCTGAAAGGTATTTTTGTTTGACATTAGTTCTTATGTTCGAACAAGCACCTAGAACCACAGAAAAATGAAAAATCCTTATATTATATTATATTATATTATATTATTTCCTTACTTAGTTTATTTTGTATTCCATAATATAAGATTGCATGGATCTTAGTTTGGTACTTTTTATTGTAGGGTATCGGATTTTATGGCAAAGAAGGAGAGAGAGGTTTGCATGAAGAGGAAATTATAGAGAGAGAGAAAAGGAGATTCACTTACCAAACTTGTGCTACAAATATGGAAGGAAATCACTCAAGGAGTCCTATTCCTTTGAGAAGACTCTAACCCTAAGGAGATTGTATAAATACCCTAAGAGAAGCTTATATTGCGGTTGCTGATGATATAGATATTTTTAGATCAATACTCGAGCTTAATATAAATATTATGTTACATTAGTTTTGTTCACGGTTCAGTTCGAGGGTTCTTACGCATCCAAGAACTGAAGTTGTTTAGTTTATTTTTCTTTATTTTTCACTCAAACTATTTTTGTGTTTTACATTTAGGGATTAAGTGTAAATTTAAAAGTTCACGGGACGTGGCCGGAGAAATAGTTGACAGGATCGTGAGTAGTTGTGGCCAGACTAGAAGCGAGTTCGAGTCTTGTAAGTCCAAACTATGTCGCATTACGATTTATCAATGAAAGATCTTTGAGGGGAAGTGAGATGCTTCCCTGAAATGTTTTTAAATTTTCGATTTATTGCTTCCGCATTTTACAGTTCGTACTCAAGTTCGTACGTTATTTAGCGCACTCGCAATCAATTATGCGTTTCAGTATCTATCATATGAGCTTTTGTGGAAAGGAAAAGGAGATGAGAAAATGACAGAAACTACATGCTACAACAATAAGAACAAATTACACAAAAGCAGCCATTTATATATTTTTCCTTAGTTAACAAAAATAGTTACTAAATTTAAGTGTAGCTAAATTATGTGAAAGTTCATTCAAATTTTGAAAGACTTATACCCAAATTCAGGACTTGTCATCCCATCTTCCCAGTCTCCCATTCGACGCCCGCCAAAAACTACCTGTTTGATGCCCAAATATCTGCACCATTCAATGAAAGGCCAATAATAAGAATAGGGAAAAAAGAAAAAGAAAAAAAAAATGAAGAAATTGCGATTTTGAAAGCTAACAGGATTTTTTTTGGTAATTTAGGCAAAAATCTCGTCGGTGGCTTTCTAAAGTGTACCCTAAAACTAGTTCGTATAAGCCACGGTATAATGGGCAGTAGGTGAAAAAAGGATGCTACTCGAGCGTTTTAAAGAACTGGGGCTTACTCGGAACTCAGTACAGTCAAGCAATTGAGAAGAACATCGATGGAGAAGAAATCAGCCGTACCAAGGTCTACCCTGTTACCACATTCAAAAAAACCAACCATGTTAACATGTATATATATAGCAAAAGAGAACCCCCTAAAATGAGAAATATCGTACCAGACCCTTCCCCAGTTGTCCTGGAACTCAACATCACTTATATCGTGAAAAGACGAAGGCATAACCTTAAAACCCTTGTCTGAATCATACAGTGGATCATACTCCATTGACAAGTTTGCCAACTGCATAACATAAGGTATAATTTAGTAGCTCGCCAAGAAATTTTGACCGGAAATTAAAAAAAAAAA